CCATGTGATTTCTCTTCTGCTCCCTTTCCCAAAAGTCACTGGGGAGTGCTTTGCTCAGATTAAACCTGATCCTTTACTTTTTAATTTGGCTGGGTTTGGCTTGCCGGGTCAGATTTACACCTTTTAATGTGTATGAGGGTTTTGACTGCATGTATGTTTGTGTGCCAGGTACCTTCAGAGACCAGAAGGTTTTGGATCCCCTGGGAATTAAACCTAGATCTTCTGGGACCCCAGCAAGTGCTCTTCACACTGAGCCATCCATCTCTTCAGCTTCCATAAAAGGGAGTATTAATCAGCCTAAAAAGGAGGAAATTCTGTTACGGGCTCCAATATGCACAGAACTTGAAGAAACTATGCTAAGTGAGAAATGCTAGGCACAAGAGGCCAGTTGCCATGATTCCATTTGTATGATGCTCCCCAGATCAGTCAAATCCATGGAGACAGAAACTAAGTGGTTACCAAGGGGTGAGGAAAGTAGTGAATGGGCCGGTGCTATTATAGGATGGTGCAAACCTTCCTTGCCAGGGATGGTGAGAATGATGGTGTACATTCAGTTAGTGTGGAGAACCATTCGCATCTCTTCAAGCTGTGAAGTCCCCTACTGGTTCATGTTTTGAGTGCTGATTCCCAGTTTTGAAGGCTGTGAAACCTTTAGGAGGTGGAGCCTGACTGCCAGAAGTGGGTCACTAAGGGCCAGCTTTCCAAGGTCTTGCCTACCCCTGCTTCCTGAGCTGTTTCCTGTGTGGTCGGCATGTGAAAAACTGCTACCACCTCATGTGAAGGATTGCAATCCCTCTGAAACTGGGAGTCAAAAATCTTTCCTCCCATTAATGGTTTCTGACAGATATTTTGGTCACCTCAGTACTGAAAAAAAAAAAAAAATGGATACAACTGCTCATTTAAAAATTGTTAAAGTGGTCATTTTTGTGTTGTGTTTTTGTGACCATAAAAATTAGAGAAGAAAAAAAAATCTAGTGTCATGCTAGTTCCAGAAAAAGGAAATTAAAAAGTCATCTATAGGTTAAAAGACTTACATAAAAAGATAGAAAAAAGAAAAATTATATTTACAAAATCATATTTACAAATATTACAATATTTACAAAAATCATATCAACTTTTGCTGGATTGTGGTGGTGATATATTGATTAGTTTTGGACAGGGGGTGATGTGGTGATATATTATTTATGATTTAATAAAGCTCGCCTGAGGGTTCAAGATGCAAAGCCAGCCACACTAGTTAGCTATAGAAGCCAGGCAGTGGTGGCTTTGATCCCAGGATTCAGCATTAAGAGGTAGACGGATCTGTGTTAGTTCAAGGCCACACTAAGCTACACAAATTAATCCAGTCCTAAAGAAAAACAGCTTTGCACAAAGGTGATCATTGCACGCCTTCAATCCCAGCACAAACTTTAGGAAACAATTGCATTTTTCATGATCACTGCATTAAAACACCACAGGATGAATAGCAGCCGTGGTGGCAAAGGGAAGCAAACAGAACTCTCTAGAGTACTGAATCTATAAATTGGTTCAAGTTTCTAGGGAACATTTGGCCATCTGTAAAAAAAGGATGGTGGTGAGGGGACTTGCAGGGCCAGGCTGCCCAGGCCACAGTCCCGGTGCGCCACCTACTGGTAGCAAAATTCAAGAGGCGCTTCAGGCCGTGAAATGCACACACCAGCCTGGCAGGTTCCTGTGAGGCTAAATCAGTCAATGTTCATAGGGAATGTGGGCCAAGTGCTGGCATTTGGTGTCATGTTACCCTGGCAGTCCGACTTTCAGTGGCTTCGTCTTCTTTTCCTGTTCATGAAAATCAAAGTTCAGCTGGACAGTGGTGGCACACACCTTTAATGCCAGCATTTAGGAGGCAGAAACAGGCAGATCTCTATGAATTCAAGGATAGCCTGGTCTACTGGGACAGCCAAGGCTACACAGAAAAACCCTGTCTCAAAAAAGGGAGTGGAAGGAAGGGGAGACGGGAATGTGTAAGTCAATAAAAACAAGTTCAAAATAAAGAAAAGAGAGAGGGCAGGGGAGGGAAGGAGAGAGGGAAGGAGGGAGGGAGGGAGGAAGGAAGGAAGGAAGGAAGGAAGGAAGGGAGGGAGGAAGGAAAGAAGGAAGGAAGGAAGCAAGGAAGGAAGGAAGGAAGGAAGGAAGGAAGGAAGGAAGGAAGGAAGGAGAAAAGCAACCTCCAGAGTCCCACAGGCCCTTGGCCTTGGCTGGCTCCTGCACTCTGGGCTCTCCTGATTCTCATGCCTGAGCTCTTGCACTGAACCACGCCATTGTCTTCCAGGAGTCTGCAGCGTTCAGATGTCCTATCGCAGGATTTCTCAGCCTCCGCCATGTGGGAGTCAACTCCCCTAATAAATCCCCTCTCCGGATCCCTTTCTACATCTAACGGTTTCTGCCCTGCCAGCATTGGTTCTCTTGTACTTCTAGTTGCCCCTACGAGCAGACTGTGCAACGGGTCCACAGGAGCAGTCACAACCCAGAGGCAAAACAGCGGATCCCAGGGCACAAGTGCTGAGGAGGCTGTCGCTAGACGTGTGCTGCTCAGAGTTCGGTGTGGCCAGAGTATGATGAACAAACCAGGATGAGATACCACAAGCATCACTTTACTCAAACCGAGTAAGACGTTGGCAGGATCTAAGAGAGCTCCAACCATCCCGGACATGCCGACCCTTCTTCCTCAACACATAGCTCCTGGGATAGCCATCATACATGTCAACTGTCAATGGCATGAGACACTCAAGGGGAATTACCTGTAGGAGGCTCAGCTTAAAGAAAACAATGGAGGAATCAGGTTTGTCAAACATATGATCCTATTTTCTTCAACAGAAGGAAATGACTGGCAGCTGGTCACCTGGAATGCTGGAGTGAATGTGGCCAAACAACCTGATGATCCTTTGCTATTCTATGGAGCCAGCTTTCCCCCGAATTTCCCCCAAATCCTGAGAATTGTTTAGGCCCTAATCCTGGCCTTTGCTTCTCAGTGACTATAACTCGACCTTATGAAAGAGGCCCCTGTGGCAGTTTGAATGTAATTGGCCCCCATAATCTCACAGGGAGTGGCATTATTGGATGTGGCTTTGTTGGAGTGGGTATGACCTAGCTGTAGGAAGTGTGTCACTAAGGGGGCAGGCTTTGAGGTTTCCTATTCTCAGTTTCCAGTGTCTCAGTCGACTTCCTGTTTCCTGCAAGATGTAGGACTCTTGAGCTGTTCCTGGGCACCTTATCTGCCTGCATGCTGCCATGCTCTCTGCCATGCTAATAATGGACTGAACCTCTGAAACTGTAAGTGAGCCACCTCAATTAAATGTTTTCCTTTATGAGTTGCCATGGTCATGGTGTCTCTTCACAGCAATAGAAACCCTAAGACAGCCCCATGTACTTTGCAACCTCCATCAACAGAACCCATCCTTGATGCTTATTACAAAATCCTTCTCTCTTAGGCTCTCAGCTCTGTTTATCTGCCAATTAGACTCATTACAATGGTCTTTGCTAGGAAGTTTCTATGTAGCTATGCCTAAAGCTTTGTTGTGATAACTGTCACATGGAACCCTTTTTCCAAAGTTTTACTGTGCTTAAATGTGTAAGCAAAACAAACTGAGAGGAAGTTTTGACCCAGCACGTGTAAAATTGTTGCTGACCAAGTTTCATTCTTCACTTCACACGGGTTCATAGCCCTGCAAGCCATGAGACTTGAGGGGTCCCTGAAAATTTCCTACCTGTCCAACTGTGCCCCATGTCCATGAAGAGTCTTCTGCTCTAACCTCACCAAACTGAACTGTTCCTTTACACCGATATGGCCCTAGCCCTAGCCCTAGCCCTCCCCCTACCCAACCACCACATCACCTAGCTCTCTGCAGCGCTTTTCTTCCAAACTCTTCCTGTGTTCCTCCTATAATGTCAGTGCCTAGCCCAAGTTTGAGAATCATGCAGAGCTCAGAAGGAGTCCGCATAGAGCGCTGGTTGGCAACACGTAAAGCAAAACTGGTGATGGGTTGAGTTGATAATGGTTGGCGCCCAGTGGTGAGGACATGAACTCACCATACGGTTCCTTCCATTTGTATGCGTCTGAATTTTCATTAATGGAAGGTTGGAAATGCCTTCTGTGGCAAACACAAAGGTGTCATATGACTGCTTTTCTTTTAGGATGGTAAAATTTTGCTGTTCAACTACAAGGGATGAAATTGACAGAATTCAACTTCACTCAGCTGAGGTTACCCATGACCCCAAGCTCCTCTAGCAAAGCATAGTGCAGTTACAAAGGCCTGGCAAGCTCAGCCATATGGAGACCCCAGAGTTAGCAGCCCTAACTCTGAAGCTCCCTGTGAGAGACCTCTATTGCTGTCTGAGCTCTCCTAGCTTCTGTCATGTGATAGTTTGACTAAGAATGGTCCTCATAGGCCCATAGATTTGAATCTTAGTCACCAGCGAGTGATACTATTTGAAAGGATTAGGAAGTGTGGCCTTGTTGGAAATGTGTGACACTGTGGGTGGACTTGCCAGTGCCTCTCTCTTCCTGCTACCTGTACTATGTCTGCCTGCATGCCCATGCTCCCTACCATGATGACAATGGACTGAACCTCTGGAACTGTAAGCCAGCCCCAATTCAATGTTTTCCTTTATAAGAGTTGCTGTGGTCATGTTATCTCTTCATAACAATAGATTACTAAGACATGCCATCCTTCCTTCTTTTCTTCACTTTGCATTGTACTCTACAACCTTCCTCTGCCAGATCCCATTTCTGCCACCTTTACCTTGCCCATGTAAAGTATCTCAGTAAAGCTAGCTGTCTTATTACAGCTTGATCACTGTATCCCAAAGGCCCTAAACCGGCACTATTGAGATTGGAAGCTGCTTCACTCCCTCTTCACACCCCCCCCTCAGTCCACAAAGCTTGGAGGAAAAACAATAGAGAACAACAGAGCGGTACATACATCATTCTATATTTAAATGCTCACCATTCTAAATGAATGTTTGCACACTAAAAAAAAATAGTCTAAGCCATGTGCCACCATGCAAACCTTTAATCTCAGCACTTAGGAGACAGAGGCAAGCAGATCACTGAGTTCAAGGCCAGCCCGCTCTATTGAGAGAGTTCCAGGACAGCCAGGACTACACAGAGAAACCCTGACTGGAAAAAACTCAACTCCCCCACCAAAGAAAAAAGGTCAGTCATGTTAAAAAAAATTATATATAAAAACTCAATATCAGAACTAAATTGATGATTCTATTAGGACAAGAGGCTTTGTCCAAATTATTCTTGCCCATGAACAAGCTCCACCAAGTGTCACAACTCTGGGAACTTCTCCAAGATGGTCCTGGTCTGGGTTGAATGGTGTCCTGGTTAGTTCTCAATATCAATGTGTCATAACTGAGAACTGTCCAAGAGGAGAGCTCCGGTGGAGGAAATGCTTTGAGGACAATGTCTGTGAGGAATTGTCCTGATTGTTCATGGACATAGGAAAACCCAGCCCACTGTGAGCAAGCAGGTCCTGAACTATATAAATAAGCTAGTTGAGTGTCAACAGCTGTGACCCAGTTAGCAAGCAGTACCCGCCATGGGCCCTGCTGTGTTTCTTTGGCCGTGAAGTGAGTTCCTCGGTCAGAGGTAATGCTGTGTGGAACAGCAAACAGGCCTACCTTCAGGTTCCAGCCTTTGCCTCCCTCGGTGATGGGCTGTGACCTGGGACTGTAAACCCATCAAAGCCTTTCCTCCTCTAAGTTGCTCTTGCTCAGTGTTTTACCACAGCAACAGGAACTAAATTATGATAGACAACCTCTCCCATGCTCCCCCAACACTCGGATGTCCAGCACTAGATTACGACACTTGGCCCTAGCAGCAGACACTTCACACTGCCTACCTCTGTCTGCACCCCAACTCAGTAGTAAAAGTCCAGCACAGAATAGAGTAACTGGTAACTGACTCAGGACCCATCTCCATGGTGGCCTGCTGATTACAAAAGGCTTCTAAATAGCAACTCCTTTAAGTCTGGGCTGGGCACGGGAATCATGGAAGAAACACTTGGAGAGTCTGTTACAACCCTTCTCTCGTTTACACAAGACACCACTCCAGGACCCAGCCTCTTGGGACAGCAGCAGGACCCAGCCCTCTGAGGTAGCAGTCCTTCAGGGAGAATGGGTTGAGGTCCTGTCTGGCTCCTGCTCTGCTTCTCCTCATGAGAAAGGCTTCTTGACTGCTGGTGGGAGCAAGAGTCCTAACAGCCTCTTCCGTTGGGGTGAACCCAGCCAGGCAACAAGTCTAAGCCCTCTGGCAACCACAGGCAGAATCACCAACCAGGAACCCTGGGTCGCCCAGAGCTCCAAGGGCTGGCATCCAACTTTTCTGGGGGCTTTGAGTGGGACAAGGGCTTTGGCTTTCCTCTTTGGTCCAGGTCCTGGGAGAGATCTTCCAAGGATGAGATCTCCAAGTCACTCTCATCCTCAGAAAGCTGCAGAGGTAAGAGGAGAGAAGGAAACGGATGTCCATAAATGCAGGAGGATGACAGAGAGTTCGGCAGCATCCAAGACAGAATTGGTCCTGCCTTCCAAGCTCCCCACCTGTGAAAACCTGCTCCAGAGACTTTGGGCCGCAGTGACAGGAATAGGTCTGGTATCCTACTAATGAGGCCAAGGCAAGAACCTTGGGGAGGTTTACAGGTAGATCTACCTGGCTGTTCATGTTTGTATTTGAACCTGGGCAATATGCATGTTCACAGCATCATGTATCTGCATTAGACTATTAGTGCCCACTCACGACAGAGAAGAGAGTTTGGAGATGTTTACATGCGCTCTATGATGAGACCAACACAGTATGTAATAAAAAGGCAGATGGGGGAAGATTATGTGCAGATTTTTCACTCCTCACATTGGCAGAACTGCAAGCCCAGAGCCTTTAACTTTTGACACTCGAAATGAATGCACCTTCATCAAAAGAACCCTTCCTCAAAGACTGATGCTCAAAGCTGCCTGGGAAACACTGAACTTGAGAGATGGGGTGACAGGACATCCTGAAATAGGTCCGAGCTGCAGTCAATGGTCAAATTGAAGTCTGCTGGGAGATCAGACTCCATCCAGACCATAGTAATAGAGTTCCCACCCAGGGTTTTTAGCTCCTCTGCTGGCTTCCTGGCCTTTGACATATGACATTCCACATATTTCATCCTGGCAAGAAAGAAGATGCAATCCAGGGCCTAGACAGTGCCTCTGTCTAATTTAAACTATTGGTGATCTTTCTCAATGGAGAACAGAACTTGGGGCTCTTTACATAAACTCCAAGATAAGCCAAGCATTTCATGTGACAAGGAAAGGTATGTAGGGGTGCTAATATAAAACACAAGTGAGGGAGAAGGGGGGTGCTGCTCAGTGACTGTGCCTGCTTGGCAGTTGCAAGGCCCGAGGTTCCATCAGCAGCACGAAAAAGACAACTGCTCACTGCTACTTCTGTAGCTAAGGGCAGCATCCTCATCATCTCCAAACAGACCTCTTTGGTTGAAAGGAGTGAAGTAAAAGGAGTTTTATACTTTCCTACCCTAGAATATAACAGAAAGTGGAAAGAAACAGTGGCAAAAAGAGTCTGGCACTCACGTGAGTGCCAAGCCTACAAATCCCATGGCAGCCACAGCCTCAGGGACTCCAGGCCACCAAGGTGTGCGGTAGTGAGACACTCACCACCTTGGACAGTTGGGACAAGGGTGTCTACATTTCTGTGTGGCACCACTCTGATCGTGGCCAGCGCTTTACATACTGCCCTTCGTTGAGGACTTCTGTAATTGCTGGGGAGGGGCCCAGGATGGAAGAAACAGCACGGGAAGACAGCAGCCACAACAGAAGGCTCTCCGAGGCAGGAGACTAGGAAATAAACCTCCTCGGAAAGCACTTATATAATAAACCAAAGGGCTTTTTAACATTAACATGGGCACAGGAGAAAATAAATCCAAAGTGGTCACCTTTCCACATATATAGGGACAGAGGAGACAACGTCGCATGCGATGTCCCTCTCAGGACATGTCAAAGCTGATACTTGCTCAGTCTGTCCCCAACCTTCACCCCAGAGCCCTCAAATTTTGGAGCTGGCTCTCTATGGAATGTAGGCCATCTTCGAGTGTCCTACCTGAGACTTCCTTGCAGGAGTGGAAGACTTCTGAAGGGCAGTGTTGGGCCTTAAGAACACACTGACCCCTCCAGAGGGCTTCTTTGCTGGAGTTTCAAGCTGCTTCTCGAGGTTTTTGACCATCGACTGCACCAGTGTTCCTGGAAAGGGGGGAGAGGCAAGTAGCCATGTGAGTGGGACACACCTGGGAAATAAATGCTTCATCCCTTTCTAGACTCCAATGTGGACAGATGGAGTAGAGAGAGAACCAAGAAGAAGAAGACAGAATTAGCATCTCCCCTCTCCCAAAGAGGGAAAAGGAGACAGAGAAGGTTCAGGCTGATACCAGCCTGGTTATAAGAGGCTTAGAATGCTCTTATAGACAAATAAAAATATATAAAAATAAGAATGTCTTGAAAATGTAACCGATGACTTATGTGAGGGCTGCTGGCAGAGCCTTAGGAAGATTGTCCAGCTAATGAATCTGAGGGGACCTTCTGTTTCATTCATGAACTACAAAGATGAGTGTGCAGTCGGGCAATGTGTGACAGTTAATCGTGTCAACCTGATTGGACTGGGGATGGTCAAGGGAATTAGTAGAGACCCATCGGAGATCATCAGAGCTCTAATCTAATCCGTGGATTGATCCCTTGATAGATTCACACTGGGGTGACATTTTGGAGGTGTGGGTAGAAGGTAGAATGTGGGACTTAGTTGGAAGAAATAGGTTACTGTAGGCATGCCCTGGCCTTTTTTCCTGTGCTGTTCTCTGGATTCCTGTCTGCCAGGATGTGATCTGCTCCACAGACCCCCAACAATGGGGGGGGGGGAGGCTGAGATATGGAAACCATGTGCCAAAATAAATAATTGCCCCCTTTAAGCCGTTCTTGGGGATTTAAGTCACAGTGATGTAAAAGCGACCCCTATGTCTTCCTTCAACAGCTCCACCCACAGACAAATACAGAGATCAAATACTAGTACCCCAGGCACGATTTCCTATGAATTCCATGCACGAAGCAGGAGTCAATCATTAATTCAGGTCATTAATCGGCCCCCAACTCACGGTAAACCAAGACGACAGAGAAGCACAGCCTCTGGATTCCAATGCTAAAAACTTAGCAGACTTTTAGAGCTCTCACAGAACTCGGATGACTGACCATTCTGTTTATTGGGACTGGAAAGATGGCTCAGTGGTTAAGGGTGTCCACCTCATTTGCAGACGGCCTGAGTTTGATTACTATCAGTCAGCTCACAGCCACCTGTAACGCCAGACTTGAAGGCATCTACCACCTTCTTCTGGCCTCCACAGGCATCTGCACATACCCACACACAGATGTACACAAAACTAAAAATAAAATGAATCTTTAAAAGACAAAAATGTTTATTAAATTCCTACTATGTGCCCAGCACTGAGTTCTTTGGCCTCTTATTAATCGTCCTGTTAAAATTATGTCATTATGCAACAAAGAAACCAGAACCTTTGCAGAGGACAAGGAGGGAGTACAGAGCCAGAACTGTATCAAAGACTCGTGACAGTGGTGGTGGCACACACCTTTAATCCCAGCACTCAGGAGGCAGAGGCAGGTGGATCTCTGTGAGTTCAAGGACAGCCTGGTCTACAGAATGAGTTCCAGGACAGCCAGGGCCACACAGAGAAACCCTGTCCGGAATGGCTCCCAGTTCCATCACCTTTCCAGACTGTCATCCCACCTGAAGTATCAAGTCTCCAGAAAGCTAGTCCTGGCTTCTGATGGGTTGACAGGCTTGATTATGCTGCAGACATGAAGCACTGAGCAGTCCATTAAGACAAGCGCTGACAGATTGCAAACCCCACAGCTTTGCCTTCTGCCTCTGCAAAGTCAAAACTGTAAGCCCCATACTCTCCAGCTCAGCCCGGGCTGAGAAATACACCCTAAGCAGAGGCCTCACTTCTGCCGGTAGTTTTATAAGGGAACCTTGAGTGGCTGGGAGCAGCCGCCACTACTTTGAGAAATGCCCAAGTCATCATTTTAATGACCTATTAGATAGAGCATTGAATTTAAAGAATAAGTCACTCCAACTGCCACAACCCTTAGCTTAAGTCTCTACAAAGCCCTGTTCATCAACAAGTTGCATCCCTGCCTGTCACTGAAGAAAATGGCAAAGAACTTTCCTACACAGATAAATGCTGGTGTTGCCTGAAGGCTGTTGGTGGAGACACACTCAGGACTTCCAGCTACCTTCTGTTTTTCCCATATAGCCCCAAAAAGAGATCTATTCCTTAGATGGCCTTCTCCAAGGGGGAAGCGGGCTCCCCAAACCTCCAACATTTAGATAACTCAGTGACAAAAATAGGGGCAAACTAACCCTCACCCAGATCTAACCTCCTCCTGGCATTTCTGAGACAAAGAAGAAATGGCAGCTCAGGACTCCCAGGAAGAAGTTGAAGGGTTTTCCAGGACACAGAAAAACTGAGGGTGGAGAAGGACTCACCTGAGGAAGCCAGCCCACCCGAGCCCTTGCCAAGGGGCTGGAAATTCTCCTCGGAGGTATCAGAGTCAGACCAGCCCCAGGTGTTCTCCGGCTGGGGTGCAGACCTGGGAAGAACTTTAGGGGGCTGGAGAGACACACGTTGCACAACGTCTTCCTCTGGCTCCTCTTCAGAACTAAAAGGGGAGGTGCTGCTGCAAACCAAATGAAAGGAACGCAGGCCAGAAAGAGAAATTTGAAAGCCAGACTTTGGCTTTTTGGTTTGCTCCAAACCAGCCCTGCTCCCTCTCTTAGGCGAAGTAGAAAGCCAAGAGGACCTGAGGCCCCACCCTCCCGCTGTAGCCATGGGGTGGATAAGATATGGGAAGGGCAGGATCCCCAGTCTCTTCTCAGAGGCTCAGGTTGAACACTACCTGAGGTACCTTCTATATTCATGTCTGTCCCCATCCCCCCCCCTTGTAATGCAGAGCTATGTAAGGGTGTAGGACAGGCTTCCTGAGACCAGAGGTCATCACCTCAGATCCTACAAGAGGGCAAAGTCTAGTGCTCACCTCATCCCAGGCCCAGGGGAAACAGGGGTACTGGAGGGTCCATGCACTCTGGGGCGTGGAATAGGGGTGGACACCTGGGTGAATCCAGGGCCATGGTTGCTGTGACTCCGAAGAGTAGACGTGGAAGGCTCTGCTGGCTTGGGTGGCAGCATCATGTTCAGGGGTCTGGTCTTTGGCCGGGCCTCTCTTGTGGCCAGTGTGGTCCGCTGGCTTTTGACTAGAAACACAGAAAGGAACATGCCAATGCTGGGCCTGTAGTCTTTAAAAAAAAAAAAAAAAAAAGCAGAAGAAAGTCTAACACCCAGAGATGATCAAGCCACAGTAAATTTGACAGTTGCCCTATATCATGAGTCACTCTGCTAGGACAAAGCTCCAGCTTCGTCAGAGACTTGGAAGAGCATTCAGTGCCTCCAGGTCAAATCATCATTACAGAGGGAGTCAACCAGGCTGACTTTGCTCACAACCTTAAGGACTCACAGCTGTGAATGCGGAGAGGCCCTGCAGGAAAACTTCGTTGCCACCAGAGGTCGCTGCAGGACCACATGACTATCAAGAACTGGCGGGAACGTTTCGATTCACGGGAGAGACAGGCAATTAGATACTCCCTCCTGTTTCCCATTAGAAAACAAGGGGCCCGGTGATGTTTGTTCACGTAAAAGTGCATCACAGGATGCTAGAGTAAGCACTTTGCATGAAACTTAACATGTATGCACTGAGTGCGACAAGAAGTGTTCCTTACTGCAGTAGCTCAGGGTCAAAATGTTTGTGATACACTGATCTCAGAGAGTTTGTTTATTCCTAAGTGGGAAGGGGTAAGATGAGGAAAGATGAAAAGGTAAAACAAGCCTGCACAGAGGAAATAAGGACAGCTTACAGCTACTGTGCACCAGACACTAAGCGGCTCTTCGAATATATCTCTTGTCGTCATCGTCGCCCCCTTCCCCACCCCCCACCCCACTCCCTCACCCCACCCCCCACCTCCCCAGCCCCTAGCCATCTTCCGGCCATTTTCCTGCTTTACAGAAACTAGGACCTATGAAGGAACTTGTCCTCAACTCCATGGAACAAAGTGACAGTCACAAACCTGGCAAGCTCCGAAGCAAGCTCCGGTGGCAAAGGCATGGTCTAACCAGGATGGTTCTCAACCTTCCTAGTGCCGCAACCCTTTAACACAGTTCCTCATGTGTGGTGACCCCCAACCATAAAATTACCTCACTGCTACTTCATAGCTGTAAGTTTCTACTGTTATGAATCATAATATAAATACCTGGTATACAGGTAGTTCGACCTCCAAAGGGGTTGCAACCCACAGCTTGAGAACTGCTTAGATGCTAAGCAGAGCTGAGCATTGGCAAATGGCTGCTGGGCAATGTGAAGATGAATGGATGAGTGGACTCAGCAGGAAGGAAAGGTCTACAAAGTGTCATGAAAATGGACCTTTCATCTCAGCTATGACTTGAACCCCAAAGCTAGGGAATGGGGAAGGGGTATTGGGGATAGGCTCTCTCCCCGCTTTCTGATGACAGAAATGGGGGGAAAGTGGTACCTACGAGAAGCAAGACACCCTTCCTTTCCCCTGAAAGCCAGAAGTCTGAAGACATCTCCATCCTTCCTCTCCAAATCCCTCTCCTCCCCCTCTGAGTGTCCAGACCTCCTGTGTCTGTCGAGCTCACATCTCCCTCCCAGTCCTCAATATTTCTCATGTGACAGGCCAGGTCCTGGTGCAAAGTCAGGCAAGGCACATACTATACTAAGTTAGAGACATTTTGGCAAATGAGCAAAGGAATACAAGTTCAAACCCAGGCAGGAAAGCCAGCTGTCTGTCCAAGATGTTTGCAAGACCAAGGACTGTCCTATCTTTAGAGACATCAAGGTCAGAAAGTTGACTTAAGATGGAGTTTCTCAGATAATCACATAATTTTTACCACATTGCTATTCTATCTGTCCTGCTATCTCTTTAACATTTTACATTAAACAGCTGTACTTCTAACATGAAATACCTGCTTTATACTTGCACAAGAAATAACTCTATTACCTCGCACAGTTATATACTAGGATTCCCCCCCCCCATTCACGTGAAGAAAAAGAAAAAGTTATAAAATAATTGGTCTGTGTACCAACTAAAATCATCTCTGATGTCCCCTGGAGATACGCAGGCTGCGTTTGGCAAACTGTATTTGCACAAAGAGCTCAACCCTAATCCTATGGATATGAGACAGGACTGATATCCTTCTGGCCATGCAGGTCCATGACCAAGGAAAGGATGCAGAGGGACCTCGGCATACATTAACTGTCTCAACTCAACTCCACTCCTGACTCTGTTTCTCCAACAGAGAATCTCTGGACTCATTTACCCTTGAGAATCCCACAAACTCTATTGGTCAGAAAAGCATCCCCAATGGGAGGCAGGGGCAGCACACGCCTTCTATGCAAATAAGCCACTGCCAAAATGGAACCCTCCCCTCAAAGCCCGCCTACCCTGCTTACCTTGAGGCTGGCCCTCAGGCTGGGACACCACACCTGGACTCTCCCATCTCTTTTTCACTCTGCTGGTCACTTCCTTATTGAGTTTCTCCCTCAGACTCAGAAATTCACGAAAGCTTCGGGCTGTCTGCTCCCGTTGGGTCCTCAGCAGGGACTCCAGACGTCGGAGAGTCTGAGCTGGAATTCCCTTTGTGTTCTAGAGGAGACAGAAGTTCCCCCTTTGCATTCACAGGCTCCCGATAGCTGCTGACACAGGGTACTGGGCTCCAGCCTGTTGTGTGGGAGGGGGGTGAAGTGGGGGACAGAGAGGGTAGGCTTCACTGCACACTGCAGAAAGTGTGCAAATCCGGGGCTCTATCATAAAGCACAACATAAGACTAGGCAAAGGGCCACATCACAGTTCACTCCACTCCACACCATAATGCACGTGGACGGGGTGTGCTTTCCCAACATCCAACTGAAGCCCAGGGCATGAAAACGGGCTGCTTCGCATGTTCTCCTCCTGGCAACTCACGTGTTCTCCCTGTTCCACCACGCTTGGAAAACTGAACTTCAAAAACCAGTGTGTACTACTAGAAATTCCCTGGGCTTCTGCCTACCAACCACCCAGAGCCCAGGAGATGGTCTGGGAGGCATCTGAGCCCAAGATGGAGATTTACCAAAATGAGACATTTTTAAATCAAAAGGGAACACAGGACCCATATAGGATTAATCAGCAGCTGAAGACAAGACAGTACTGATGAGTGTCTCTACAAAACTCAACCTAGCTGAGTTTGTTTTATTGGTTTTTCTAATCTTACTGAAATGCAAATGGTGTGTCCAATGCTATGATGCTTGTCTGCTGTGAAAATATGACACACCTTTATTTACTAAGAGATGCATTCAGGCTCTATCTGTGCACATTGGGGAACAGCCACATGTTCCATATACATAGTGGACTTAGAGAGAGAGAGTTATGCACACAGGACTGACCCATTGGCCACACTCAGCCAGCTAAATGCCCTCTATCAGAGATCTGGTTATAGATGCAGGGGAAAAGTAACCAGTGAGTGAAGAACATTGAGAGGGTCAGGGCGAGGACTTGGAGGAAAGCAGAGACCTCTCTTCTGCTGAGAGGTGACAGAAGCTGTCCCCAGATAGCAATAAGCACAGGAAGAAAGAAACAAATGAGTCTGCAAGGTAAAGAACCAAAATCACATCCCTGGGTGAGGACACTGTGTTCACTATAGGTCTCAGCCCTTAAAACAGCACCGTTAGCCTGGTGTAGTGGCGCACACTATATTAGGTCCAGAACCCTTGGCTGAGGCACGAGGATTGGTGTGTTCAAAGTCAGCCTGAGCTGCTCGGCAAGATCCTGTCTTTAAACACATCATCAAAGGACTAATTCAGCAGTGGCCCAGGAACCGACCCTCTTTATCCCCATGCCTTCCAGCTTCTCTTCCAGGGTGTCCTCCAGGATGGGCCGGAACTGCTTCAGCCAAGCGGGGTTTTGCCTCAGAGCTGCCAACACCTTCCACTGCTCATCATGGGAGCTCCGCAGCTCTGCAGGAGGAGACCGTAAGCAAGGTCAATGATCCCGCGGCTCACCACCCCTGTACCTATCGGTGACCCTGAGAGCCCTGCTGTGCCTTCCGGAACCCCAGTCCCCAGAGTGAGTCCAAAGCAAGCCACTCCCACATGTCCGCCCCTGGGTAAGAAGATGAGACATGTTTCCTTCCGCGTGTCACTCACTACCCAGCTTCTACATCCCCATACCCTGCTAGCCTGCACCTCCGAGATCTGGGCTCAGTCAGTCCTGAGGTCAACTCATGGCTTCTGGAACCGGAATTAAACCCTGGAAACAACTTGTTCCCTGGGCTCCACTCTGGTCTGATTCCAGATTGGCTCCAGCCTTAGCCCAGCCTCCACCCGATACCCTCCCCCACCACTGAACTCTCCTACCACTGAAGCCGGTTATGTTCTGATTCAGATTAAAGGGCAGGCAAGATCATCCATTCAAGTTTCCTCTCTAGGCCACTTGGCAGTCTCGTTACTTTAGGTCCTCCCTCATCTACCTACAGCTCAATCACGTGGAAAACAGCGCGGCCGAAAGCCGGTGCAGTGAGCATTGCTCTGAACAGCACCAGGCGAGAGGCCGTGGGGCAGGCACAAGGGGCTCCTGTAGCCTTGTGACTCGGTGACCCTGCAGACTGCATGTGGTTACCTTTAAACAAGACCCCTGGTACATACACTGTGCGGAAGAAATATTTATCTTGTGCCCTTAGTTCCTTCCTCTATAGCTTAATGTGTCCACATTAGTTAAAGAGGAAATAAAAAGTGAGAGCAGCCAATCTGCTTTCTGCGGTGAAGGAGAGAGACAGAGAGGGGGGGGGAGGGAGAAGGAGAGAGAGAGAGAGACCCACCTTCCTCAGAAGAGCTCTCCTCTGTGTCCACAGCCTTTGGCACCTCTTGGACTTCTGAGAAAACAGGAACAATTAGTGGCACCAGAACCCCGAAGCCCACCCCTGACTCAGAGAAAGGAGCAGTACCCCAGGGGAGCACTAGCCTGTAAGGGAGAACCCTCCAGAGATTCCTCTTTCCCTCACTCTGGGGAAGGGCAGGATGGAAAACCAGTCCCAGGCGGGAACATCAGACTCACAGCCCAGCTCTGCCTCCAATGGCTGTGCATGGGTTGACAAGTCTCTGAACCCCACCGAGCCTCCGTTTCCATATGAGGAAAAGTAGAGTGATAATACTCATCCCACATTAAATCACAGCATAATGACGGGATGAACTGGCATGGCACACAGTCATTAGTAACGGCATGCCACAGACATGGTGAAGTAGAGAGACTACCCAAGACCCTCACCTCTTTCCTTCCGCTAGGGAAAAATCAAGCCAGCCACGAATCCCTGACAGCTGATGCGAAGCCTCCAGCACAAATTCGCTCTCTCCCATAAGCCCTCTCCCTTGCCCAGCTAGACAGCCTGACACCACAGTGTGTGTCCCACACCAGGACAAGCCCCAAAGACTGATCCTAACCCACTGCAGACTTACCCTCCACCTTCCTGAGGGACAATGTCTGGATCTGCAAAAGGTGGGATAGAGCAGGTTACGGCCAGCAGGGGGCACTGCAGGGACTCTGCTCCGAGCAGCAGAACTGCCCAGAACAGAGAGGAAAGGGCAGCCACTGTCGTCACACCACCCACTAAGAACTAGAATGGCTTACTACCCAGCCCCAAGCACATCTCACCTCCCACCATGCATACGTGGAAAAACAGCACACCAAAGCAGTCCTGCCTGACGGCCTGCTCAGCTTTCTCAGGGCTGGGAGACCAGAACAGCTGTCTTCAGAGGGCTACTCCTTCAGGGCAGGAGCCCACAGAAGCACAGTGAGTCGGGGGTGCAGGTGGCATGGAGATAAAACTGATGCTAAGACAGCCAGGAGAAGACAGAAATTCTCACCAGCGATGCAGACAGCTAAGCTGAGGGCTAAGGGAACACAGAAGCCAGACAGCATCCCTGCCTGGAGGCCTGACCCAGGCACGGGCAAATCTGCCCAGCACCCCTTTCCCAACAGGGCCTTTTCCTTCCCCTTTCACAGGCCGCAGACTGTGCAGTCAAATATTGTCAACATAACCTCAGACCACGGTCACAGCTGCCTGTCCATGTCTGCATGGAGAGTTCTGAGCTAGCAAAGGGTCAGGAACGCTAGTAGCCAACTGGTTGGGGCTTTCTTGGTTTGTCTGTTTTGCCACATGGAACCAGTAAGAAGCAGTTGGCTTCTGGATAAAACAAACTTTTGGAAGAGCGAAACTATTGCCCTCACTGGAGTCCCGGCACCACTCCATTCACAAACTCAGCCTCTTCTCCGCCTTGGGCTGTGAAGCACCATTTATCTATGGGCTATAGATCCTCTCTCTGCCTCAGCTAGGGTTTCTATCACCTGCTGCATCATGTACTGTTGTTGTTCTCATCCAACACAGATCGTCAATTGTGTCTCCTTACCTACCTCTACTCCAGCGACCGGAAAACCAATTATGTGGGGCTGGAGAGATGAAGGAGCTGTGGACAGCACTGCAGCAGCATCTGGCTCACAGCCTTCTATAATTCCAGTTCCAGAGGAACACCACCCCACACCACCCCGCCACTGCCGCCTCTTCTGACCGCTAAGGACATCACACACACACACACACACACACACACACACACACACACACACACACTCACACGGGACAATACACACATGTAGGTAAAACGCCATTCACATAAAATAAAATCTTAAAAAAAAAATGAAGAGCCCTTCTTAAAAAATTATACTCTTTCCCAGTTTCTTTAAAATTATACTTGCTCACTGGCAACTTTGACCAGTATGTCTCCAGAATCTTGGGCTGGTGAGAAGCTTAGTAGATAATGAACAGCACTTGCTGCCTAAGCCTAGTGGAGTATACTAGATTCGTGAATCCACATGAAGGTATAAGGAAGATTGAAGTTCACAAGGTTGCTCTCTGAGCCCCACCGGTGTGCTGAAGTGCACACACGATCACAAACACACACACACACACACACACACACACACACACACACACACACACACACGGAATAAATAATTCTTTTGAAATGTCTTGGGAAAGGGCCTTTACATCAAGTTCTTCAGTCAAATCTGACTGTGATGACCGGGGCTGACAGCTGAATGAAAAGGTAAATCAAAGTCTGGGTTCTCAGTGGTGTAAATCTGGTGCTAACCACAGCCAGCAAGTGTTACCTCTTTGGGTATATGATCAGCATAAAGTGCTTCTACTTATCTGTTACCTTGAGCTAACACGTTCCTCAATGAAACACTTAAAAACGATAGATCTGAAGGCACACTTCCAGAGTGGACCAAAGGTGCTGTACAGCAGTATGAAGGTATGGACAGGTATGGCCCCTCATAGACAGACCATTCTATGTGTGTGAATGCTTGGCCCATAGGGAATGCACTATTAGGAGGTGTGGTCTTGGAGGAAGTGTGTCACTGTGGAGGCAGGCTTTGAGATCTCATATGCTCAAGCTAGGCCTAGTGTGACAGTCTCCTTCTGCTTCCTGTGGATCAAGACGTAGATTGCACCTTTGCTCTGAGCATTGGTAGAGGTAAGAGTTCTCTAGTGCTTTGCTTCTCTGATCTTCAGCCTTAACCCCAATATCTATCTCTGGGTTTTTATTATTTGTGCTACAGGAAGCCATTGAAGTAGTATATAAGTCATATTTATATAAGTATTTCATAAAGTAAAACTTTTGTTATTTAAGTATCATATACGAAGGAAGTTTACACAAGTATATATCCTGATGTGTTTGCCTTTCCTGAAATTCTGTGTACTATTCCATTGATGAATCTTAATCAAGGAAATAAAGTGACTGGTTAAACAGGGGGGAAAAAAGACATAGAACTCTCAGCTCCTTCTCCAGCACCATGTCTGCCTGTACACTGCCATGCTTCCCACAGTGATTATAATGGATGGAATCTGAAACTGTAAGCCAGCCCAATTAAATGTTTCCCTTTATAAGAGTTGCTGTGGTCATGCCATCTGTTCACAGCAGGAGAAACCCTAACTAAGACAAGCAGTGAAGAGGCCAATGTTTGCAGGGAGCAAGGGACAAGTTGGTGTCCTATAACAGCTTCCTCTGAGATTGAAATACTCCATCCTGTGTAGTAAGCACCATAAGCAGGAAGGTAAACAGCACACAAGAGCTTCAGGAAGTCCCTGAAACTGACCAGACTCCCTGATGGAGTAAGGAATAAAGGATGAGAGTCGCCCTCCCAGGAAGCTGAGCCACAAAGGAGACGCTCCCACAAGCTGACCTGCAAAGACTATAAAAGAAGAAAAGCTGCGATGAAGACTAAGACCAGACCGGTGGCCTGAAGAAGTAGAACCCAGCCAAGCTGTCTGGAAGAGATGTAGACTAACAGAATCTCTTAGAAAAGACATGTCAACCTGTTGATCTGCCTGGGGCTGGGCAGGAGGCTCCAGGTTCCCACGCTGGGGTGGCCTTTGGTGATACAGCTGTCGTTGAGTCATTTCTGCTTCTGTAAGTAACCCCAATAAAACTCATTGGCTCACCAAGTGGGACTTCGGTGGTATCTGTACTTTGGTCTGTCAAGGGTCCCTATCTGGGATGAGTAGACGTGCATGTTTTATCTCCCAGAAACAGTTTGTCACATGACAGGTAGACACAGAGACTGGCATAATGTGGTTAGAAAGCAGAAAAGTGTGACCAACAAGAGGTACAAGGACAGGAGGAAGGGGCTGGGCAGTGGCAACAACTCCAGGGCCTGTGGACAACAGGGACCTGAGGCCCAGCTGCGACTTGGAGGAGACAGGGGCAGCTTTCCCACAGACCTGGACTCCCAAAGGGGAGCTGAATGCAGCCTGGGGTTGGAGGACAATTACCAAGGACAGAGGAAGACCCACAGGACCGAGCTTTAGTATGTGCTCAGAGACACAGCAACTTTTATCTCGCTGGCTTATTAGAAAAACTCATTGGAAGCCATTCCTTTGTGGAGAGGGAACCGGATAATAAGTTTCATCTGTGAATATACTCTAAGGGGCACAGCTGTGTGTTCCACCAGCCTAGCTAGAATCAGATGTCACCCACCACTTAATAGAAAATTCTGTTCCGACTTATATAAGGTGGAAAGAAAGTGGTGTCTATCTTGAAGTCTGAGGTTTCAATGAGGTAATGTGCAAAGTGCCAGGCTGAGACCAAGCATCTTACGTGGTCTCTGGTGATAGCGTGAGATTTTTGCCTAGAAAGAGTTGGCTATAGCCTTATAACCTTTTACCTCTCTTCACTGCCTTTATAATCTTGTACCCCTTTTGTATGCCCTTCAGAAACCTAATGTCCAACAGCATGAACTCAGAAGGATCCAAAGTGATCCCCACAGAGAAGAGGCCTGGCAGCTGCAGGCAATGATCAGGGAAAGGACGAACCTACCGTCTCCTCCTGAGATGCGATAAGCTTGGCTTGTTCTTGAAGTTGGGCACGGAGGGCATTGATATGGCGTTGTGACTGGGCAGCTGCCTTCTTCTGGTCCTGAGACAGGGTGGCATGGAGCCTCTCATTCTCCTCCTGCATCTAGTGGGCACAGGAATGTTGGTCAGTCAGAGATCTGCAGGGACCCAAGTACTGCCCCCCCCCGCCCCCGTGAGAAAGGCAGTCCCTATAGCCCAACACCGGTGGCGGGCAGGTCAGAGGTCAGACTTGATTTCTAGACTGTACAGATAACTTTCAAACAATTCTAGCTGCCTTCCAGTTTGGGTACATTTTTTAGCTGTGCCAGAGAAGAAATGAGAAGAGAAAATGGAAGGCAGGCCTCTAAGATCATGGGAGAAGGTTCTCTGTCACATGTACTCACCCACTGAGGACATGCAGCAAAAAGACCACACAAAAATCATCAAATGTCTTTTTAGATAAAAACAAAAGGACTGGAAAATGTGTTGCCATGCCACCTCAGGTGTAAAGCAGAAGTAAAAGGAGGCTACTTATTAATATTTGCATAAGGAAACTCTAGAGAATACAAATGAAATAAAACCATCACATGGAGACTGGGTAACCCTACAATACAGTAGGAGCAAGTGTCCCCCATGGGCCAAGCTCATGGCATCTTCTGTGCCGTGGGCCAACAGAACCTGAGAAAGTTAAACTTCCTTCTCGACCTGCCTTCTCCTCACGGGCATTTACAAAGAAGCCTATGCCATGTCCTGAGCTCTGCTGCTGTCTGTGCTGGGGTTTTAGTGTGTGAGCCCTTCACTAGACTCCCTCTGAAATACCACTGGGGTCTGGTTCTCCCTGCAGGTGGAGGTTTTCAAAGAGCCTACACATGGATGATATGACTGATAACTCAGGGGTCTTACAGCACAAGAAGGTCTGAAAAGGTACCACTTACTACAGGATGCGTGGGGTTTGAAACATGACTGGGGGTCCCCACTCCTGGCTAAGGAATCTGCTGGATAGGCAGGTGGCCCCCTTTTATATTAAAGGGGACTGGAAGCCATGAACAATATCTGAAACAATTCACCCGACAACCATTTCTAGGTAAGAGAGAGTGGGAAGGGGAGAGGTCATGGGAAACCAAACTCTCCTGCTACCAAACAACAGCTACCTCTCTCCTCTCAGCTGCCCGCTCTTCATGGAGTGCCTTCATTTTTCTCTTCCATTCTGTTTTCTGAAAAGTAATAATAACAAAAGTTTGTTAAATGGAACCCTGTAAGTAATAAGAAATATAAACTATAAAACCACGAGGAATAAAAAGTGTTGGCTCCTGGTTAGACAGAAAGATGAGCAGAAGAGAATAGAGAAACTGAACTAATATGGAGGGAAATGGAAACTTAGTGGGAGAGAAAATGGGGACATGGATTATTAACTACTGCTGTTTGAATAAATGGCTAATTGGCCAGAAAAAAAATAAAAACTCGGATGACTGCTTGAAGCCAAAACAAACTGTAGACAGATCAGATAATTACACATAAAAATCAAGACAGCAAAATTATAATAGTAATAATTAAGGCCACAAAATCTCTCAAAGAAAACACAGGAACACTTTTTTTTAAACCTCAGAATAGATACAACAATAAAAGATCGACAGAGAGGTTGAAGAGATACCCGACAGTCAAGAGAGCTCATAGTTCTTGCAGAGGACCCGAGTTCTGTTCCCAGCACCTTTATCAGAGGGCTTGCAACTGCCTGTGACTCCAGCTCCAGGGGATACAATACCTTCTTCTACCTCCTGCAGACACCTTCACACATGTACACATACACAGAGACACATGCATACACATTAAAGTGAAAATTATTCTTTTTAAAAAGCTGACCATAAAAAAGAAAAAAAGCTGATCATTTGATAACTTTTACCAAAGAAACTTTCCTCTTTTATCAGTAGAAGACTGGGGGAAAACGGCCACAAGTAGAGCAACAAAAGGCTAGGTTAATATCCACAAGTAGAAGCGAAAGGCCAGCACAGTGGCACAAGGCTGTAACTCCAGCCATTGAAAGCTGGAAGCAGGAAAGTCAGGAGTTCAAGGTTAAGGTTCTTCTCAGACACACAGCAAGCAGAGGTCAGCCCTGTCTCAAAGAGTGAATGAAAAAAGAGAGGGCAAAAAAAAAAAAAGGGAAAAATATGAACAGAGTTCAAATTCATAGGGAAAAAAGTGTGTGTGTGTGTGTGTGTGTGTGTGTGTGTGTGTGTGTGTGTAAAGAGAGAATGGCATGTGTGTATGTGTGTGTGTGTGTACACGTATGCTTGCATGTATGTTGAGGCCAGGCGTCACTCTCCATCTCACTTTTGAGACAGGGTCTCTGCTAAACCAATTAGCTAGACTGATTGAGCAGTGAGCCATGAGTCCCAGAATCTGCCTGTCTCTGTCCCCTAGCTCTGATGTTCTAGATGCATGCTGTTCCTGGTGTTTATGGGGCATTGGGGATGTCAACTAAGGCCCTCATGCTTGTATTGAGAGCGCTTTACTGACCAAGCCATCTCCCCAGGAACAATGATTTTTTTTTTCAATGATGTAAAAATCTATGAACCATTTGTGCTGGGTTAGTTTGTGTTTTGTTTGTCTGTTTGTCTACTTAACTTGTACAAGCTAGAGTCACCTGGGAAGAGAGAACCTCAGTGGAGAAAAATGTTCCCACCAGACTGGCCTGGAAGCAAGCCAGTGGGGCATTTTCTTAATTATGATTGATGCAGAAGTGCCCAGCCTGCTATGGGCAGTGTCATCCCTGGGGTAGTCCTGGAGCAAGGCTCAAGGAGAACAAGCCAACAAGCAGTGTTCTTCCTCTAGGTCTCTGCCTTGGTTTCCCCTGATGATCGACTGTAACATGAAGTATAAGCCAAAGAACCTCTTTTCTCCCCCAAGATGCTTTTGGTCATGGTGTTTAACACATCAATAGAAAGAAAAGTAGGACAACATCTGTGCTGGTTTGAATAAAAATGGTCCCCATAGGTCCACAGAGGTAGCACTATTAGGAAGTATGGTCTTGTTGGAGTTAAGAGTGGCTTGTTGGAGGAAGTATATCATTGGAGGGTGGACTTTGAGGTCTCATAATAGACCACACATCTAAAACTATAAGCCACCCCAATTAGATGTTTTCCTTTATGAGTTGTTATGGTCATGATGTCTCTTCACAGCAATAGAAACGCTAAAAGACACCAGACAGCCAGCTTCAACACCTTTCTGCAGACAGACTCTGGCTCTTTCTCAACCACCTTGGAAAGCAGACACAGGAGCTCATGTGGGGCTGTGGCTTACTGTACCTGCTGTGGCCTTAAGGATGACACTAACATCCTCTGCCTATACTTGAGTAAGGTTCTCCCAGTGGTGGGCAGAGTAGACTGGCTACAAATCTTCCCAGCTCTGTTCAGTGACCTCATAGTGACGACCAGATAGGAATCTGCACACCACAGACAGTTGCAAGTGGTTTTTTGTTATTGTTTTGGTTTGGTTTTTGGCTCCAAGCTGATACTTAAGCATTTACAACCACACCACAGATTTGTCACATCCCAGGACACTGTCACACTTTCTGAATTGTTTTCAATTGTGTCAGAACAAAAGTTGGGACAAAGATGTTAAAAAGAGCCACCTGCATTTGCATAATTTGTCCATATCAAGTAAATACAATGATTAAACATATCACCAGTCTTGCCTAGGCACCATATTCAGTGTTTTCATACCAAGCAATTAAGAGCTTTGATGTATCTCGACTTCACCAAACCCACAAGGCAAAACCAGGGCCTCGGTGAGGACAGCCAGATTCTTGGCTTGCTATGGAGAGAAGGGCGTGGAGGAGGATCAGCCTACCTGAACTTCTATCTTCTCTCGAAGGGCCTGGAGCTCCTGGGCCTGCTTCAGTCGCTCCTCTGACTCCTCATCCCGCAGAGACCCAAGGTGGGACTCGGTCATACTGTAGGATTGCAGCACCTTCAGCTTCTGAAAAAGCCAAGAACCATTTCATTAAAGGATGCCCTAGACATGACACTGGCTATCTATCTACCTTATCCCAATACAGGACCAGAAGGGTGACCTCCAAAAAGAGACTGTCCAGTCTGCTGTCACAACCAACATGTGCAAACACTGCAAACATCGACACAAATCAACAGACTCCTCACTAGGCTCCCAAGGCTCAGCCCCTGCACAATAGAAATAAGTACCCACGGAACAAACAAACTCCAGTGTCATTACAGTCCCAGTGAGACTCTGCTGTCCCCAAGTTCCAAGCCTGCCCAGCTGTGGGCCAGTTTCTTCCTAGGTTAGATTAAGCTGAAGAGACCCACACTTAGGGCTCATGTGATAATCTCTGGCACCGCAAGCCATGCCCTGAGGATCCCTGCCTCTTACACACACACACACACACACACACACACACACACACACACACACACTGGCTG